TATATATATATATATTATTTTATGGATTTATATTTTTTTAAAAGTATCACAATATCATAAACAATTGTGAGTATCACTTATGATAATCACAAAGCCTACTTCTAATTATGAACATATAAGTAATTTAAAAAAAAGTCATATATTAATAAGACTAAAAGAATAACTTCAAATTTTAAAAGGATGAAAAAAAAAATTATCAAAGCCAAAATTAAAACATACTCATTTTCCAAAAATTAAAAACATACTTAAACCTTATTTTTATAACCACGCACTTAAGTAAAATTAATCAATTTAATATTAATGTAAAATTTTATAAAGTATAATTGATCAATTTAATATATATTATATATTAAAATATTAGAATTTAAAAAAATCAGGGAGGCCAAGGTCCCTTATGTTCAAGGTAGATCTATTCCTAAATATGATATATTTTATTCATGGGTTCTAAATATATAGATTAAAACTTTAATAGAAAAAATTTAGTAAATTGTAAAATAAGAAAAAAAAATATTAATATTAACTTTTAAATATAAATATTTGAAACACAACAGTTTTAAATTTGAGGAACTAGAAATAAATTGATGTTAAATTTGAGAAATGAAAAACATATTTAAAATTTAATAATATATATAAATTAATTAAATATAAAAAATGTTAGTGGGGAAATGCCCCCATTATGATCCACGTGGATCCTTCACTGCTTATTGTGTTGTTTAGTATAGAGACCATCACGAGTCGTTACAGATATTATCATAAACTAAAGTTATTGCTTAAATATGTAGTTGTACCCCAAGGTTTTTTCATTCACAATTATCTTATCTAGTTTGAACACGATTGCATTTAGTATATGTGACACCCTTACTACCCCAACATATATATATTGTAAAAATGTAAATAAACTAAAGAATAAAATTTTCAACATTGGTAAAAGGGTTCACATAAAACCTTCATAATTGTTCCTCAATGTTCAAGATAATTGAAACTTGAAAAATAAAACATAAGAGTTTACAATTTGTTTTTAAAAAAAAGATACAACTCCAATTAAATATTTATATCCTAAGATCCTCTGCCCCAATGTCACACTATCAGAGCACACCCACAACTCAAC